TGGGGATTCATTTTGGCTTTCTCACACATACTTGGGACTCCATCCTCGGTCCTCACACTTCTAAGGAAAGTTATCGGCATCGGCTCTCAACCCCTTCTCTTGTCTATTTAGAACATCCCTTACTTCTGCTCTGCCATGTCCCTAGTCAGCTTGCTAGGCTTTGAGTTCCGTTCACTTCCATCTCCAGTATCTCTGGGACTCAGCCTAAGCTGCATTCAGAGCTAGCCCAGTGCACCCCTGCCCCGTCATGCTGTCTTCCTGGCCCTTGGAGACTGTTCATTTCCAATAGCGATCTGCTTTTCTCTCCCTGTTGGTGTTTCAGACCACAGTCTGCACACACGGTTTTTATTTGTGTACTTTTCTTGGAGCCCTAAGCTGTTGGAAGACATTACTCAGAACTAAATTTGGTGAAAATCTGTCTGGATAAGCAAGGTTGGGTTAAACACACCGAGAATCTGTAACCGCCCCTCTCGCTCCCTAATTGTAAGAGGGTTGGGGTGCCAAGCATTTGCAATCTGCAAGTCAAGCATTCAGCACTACACTGGAAAGGCTTACCAACATGAGCAGCCAGCCAGCTTCACATGACAAGGCATGGCTACAACCAGCTGGCTGCAAATGACAAATTAACCTTAAGGGATGACTCAATACTCCAAAGCTGGGAAGCAAACCGACTCCTCTGAAAACAGGGAAAGAGGCCATGTCTAGATGAAGCAGACATTATTTGAAGGGGGTAGAGGTTCTTGGCTGTGACTAGGAGTGAGCACATGGCCTGGAGACCCCGTTCTCTTGGTCACCCTATGACTCTAGTCAGGCTTGTCTTCTCTGTACCCAGGCTGGCTCATGGCTGAAGGCAACAAGGTCTGAGGCAGAGTGCTCATTCTTATGTATACCTCTCATCCTTAGCACCACACATGGGGCCCAGGGAGGTGGTCTCCATTCAAAACTGGTGGTTCCTCTTTAACACCTATGAGGGAGAACAGGGTGCGCTAAGATGCTCAGGGCTGGGGTTTCTTGAGGAGAGACATTCTGTTCAAGAGGAAACAAGTGTCCCAGAGCCTGAAAGCAGAATGACACCAACAACTTGTGTCTTTAGGGAACGTGTTCAGCCCAGGGCAGGTTTGCCCTGGACCTTTCTCTCTTTTCAATGCTTAATTGTCTGTACTTTGCGTGCTTTATTTTTCTTTTTATGAATTAAATTTGTGTTCAGACAATTTCACACATGCAGGTGATGCATACTTGCCACTCTTACTGCCTGTCAACCCCTTTTCCCACAAATCTGTGTTCTGGTCTATTCATTTTGCTTTGTAACTCACTGACATCACAGGGCCACCTGTGTGCCCATGGATTTGGAACTACCTGTTACAATCTGGTGAGCTCAGCAATGGGTACACATCTAAAGATAACTAAAGTGATACCCCTCTCCAGTCTACTAATCACAGCTAGTATTTCAAAGGTAAAGCGTGGGGCCTTGTGAGCCCCTCCCCTTCCTTGACTTGTTGATAGGAGTCTTGTGTGGACCAGTGTGGGTACCTACAGCTGTAAGTGAAAGGCCATACTAGCCATCAATTCTGAACAGTGGTGTTTTGCAGCCTTTTACTCTTATTTTTTGGCCCTTTCATACTTCTAGCCCCTCTTCCACATGTTCCTTGAGCCTTATAGGTAATGGTAGGTCTTGTTTGAAGCAGCAGGCCTAGTTTTTGAAAGGTCTGGGAACAGCTGGTTACAATAGGCTAAGTAGAAGTACGGCTAGCTAGACAGTTATGCTAGATGGTTCTTGAAGATGCAAACATAGGTTCTCCCCACTGAAGTGGCCACCTTGCCTGGTTTAAGTGGGGAGATGGGGTGGTGTTTCTTCAGAATGTTTGGGGCCTTCTCTGACTTAGCAAGTAAAATGCTGCTTGCTGTGGTTTTGATTTGAAATGTCCCTCAAAGACCTAGGTATTAAAGGCTTTGGTCCCCAATATGTGATGTTACTGGGAGGTAGTGGACAGTATGAAAGGAAGCGAGACCTTTGGAGGCAGGCCCTTGAAGGGAATGCTGGGACCCTGCTCCAGTTAAGGTTACCATTGCCATGATGAAACAAGCAAGTTGGGGAGGAAAGACCACATCATACAGTTCATCACTGAAGAAAGCCAAGACTCAAGCAGGGCAAGAATACGGGGGCAGGAGCTGGTGCAGGGCCATGGAGGGGTGCTGCTAACTGGCTTGCTCCTCATGGCTTGCTCAGCCTGCTTCCTTACAGAACCCAGAACCACCAGCCCTGGGAAGGCACCACCCACAATGGGCTGGGCCCTCCTCCATCAATCACTGAGAAAGAAATGCTCTACAGGTTTGCCTATAATCCTATCTTATGGAGCCATTTTCTCAATTGAGGTTTTCTCTTCTCCGATGATTCCAGTTTGGGTCAAGTCGACATGAATCTAGCCAGCACAGGCCTCCTTTCTCTTCTTCTTTGCTTCCTGGTTGCCACAAGGCAAACAGCTTTGTTCCACCACCACTTTCTTCCTCCCATGAACAGATCCCACATCAATAGAGCCAGCCGACCATGCACTAAAACCCTTGAAACTCTGTACCAAAGTAAAACATTTATCCATTGAGTGACTCATCTCAGGTTTGCTGTCACCAAAACAAGAATTTAACACAGAACTTTACCCGAAGTCAGGGACAGGTGCAGGGTTACAGTGACATCAGTGTTGCAGCCCATGAGTTTCTCCATAAAGAAGGGGCATGGCTGCTTCCACTGCATCAATGAAGCAGGGGTGCACAGCAAGGTGGCCCTCAGGCATATACCGTCAGGACAATGGTTGGAAGCCTCCCAGCCCAGCAGCTGTGGCTCATTCCAAAGGCTGGCAGGCAGTCCTGGACCATGACAGGTTAGTCCTCTGTACGCCGTGAGGTCTCTCAGTTCATAAATAAGATGCTGCACAAAGAGACCTGTCCAAGAGCTGAAGGCAGACTGAACTCCACTCATGCTCCACTCTCTACCCACAGCCACCCGACTCCCTTGGCTCTGCAAGGTGACACTCACTACACGGGATGCTGCTGCCTTAGAGCCACAGTATTCCAGGCTCTACCTGAAATTCAAGGAGGTTAAACTGTTGCCGGGGCAGAGACCTTGAAATGAAAGCTGAATATGAGTTCAGGAGGATCATGAGAAGAGGAAGTATTAATTTATGTAGGAGGCTCAGTCCTGGATGCTTAGAAAACCCTTCTGATCCTTCCTGTGTCCATGTGTCCACAGAGCTCTGTAGAAGGCACCACTTACCTGCTGAGGTAAGGATGTAGGCACCCATCCTGACTGTCCTGCAGGTGGCATCTGTGGTCTAAAGGAATCGACTTGTTACTTACTAAAGTGGACAATGGAGAGAGAACCTGCCATTTTGTCAGAACAGAGCACTGTAGCATTGATCTAAAAAGACTGCATGTCCTCTCACCTCCCATCCTGGCTTGCTCTGTTGGGTGGCAGCAGCTGCTGCTACAGTTTTACTAATTCATGTGAAGAAAGGAAACTTTCATGAATTAAAGCTATTCATTGACACAAACTTATTAGAAATGTTAAAAATGAAATTCATCTTTCCCTGGCTGCAGACACATCTTTAAACATGCAATTATAGAGTTTTTAAATGTTTTCCATTATTTTATTTTGTTTATCATCAAACCACATTTTAAAAGACTGGTCACTGGCCAAATAACATTTTTTTTTTTAAGTGTTAGGGATTTGACCCAGAACATTATATAGGCAAGTGCCCTATCAGGAGGTACATCGCCAGCCTAATATCACTCCAATTTTAGTAGACATGTTACCAAAGTGATGCTGCTTTTACTGATTTAGGACCACAGACCACAGATGTCTCTCTTGCTTTATTCTCCTTATAAACTACAGAGACGTGTATAATTACTGTTGAGTATTTGAGAGACTTCTATGGGCTCGCAGCAGTGCTGGGTGTTATGGGAGGCATCCCTTCCAGAGGCTGACACAGTGGATGCAGGTCAAGGCACAGTGCATAGGAGCAGAGCTCAGTTCCTCTTCAGCACTCCGTCCTTCCTTAGGGGAAAGCATGCCTGCCCTCATACAGGACAGGTGATGCTCTCCCTGCTTCTGGGAGGGATGAGCAGAGCTCAAAGCTCTAAGGAAACCCCACCCCACCCAGGCCTCCATTTTAAAATCTGCATAGAAAGAATAAGATTCTTCTTGGAAGCTCTAAGCCAAAGACTTTTTTTTTTTATGATCTAGGGATTATTAAGATGCTAAAATCATGAAGCTTTATTCATTGTGTATACACAGCAAGGGTCAGTTTCCATATGTGCCCTTTGGGAACTGCGAGGCTCTTCTGCCTCCCTCTAGGATTATGCTTCTGGTCTCTTTGCACACGAGACAGCAACAGGACTGCTACAGAGCCTGGAGAATCTTTGAACTTCTGCCTCTGAATAGCCACTACCTCGTCTCATGAAATCTCCCCTTCAGCACATTTTCTAAATGTGTTTGTTGAAAGCAAGAGCAGGCTGGTCCTACTGTTTGTGTCCCAAGAAGTAGACTGAATTGGGAAATGTGAGTGTTGCTTCAAGTTTTGGGACACCTTCTAGATAGAAACCGGCTAGAAATACCTTCAGAAAGACTCTCTGGCTAAAGGCTCAGATCAAACATGCCAAATGGAGCTTTACAAAAGAAAGTCTGACTTTGTTAACAAAGTCATCATTGCTTCCAAGAGCGCATGAAACCCTTAGTAGGTAACTTGTGGGGTAACATTGCCCCCTGGTGGTTAGCAAGCTCCACGGCACACAGAGCCCAACACTAGGAAATTGCTCTCTTTAGCTTGAGCTATTAATAAACAGCTCGGAGAATATCCCCTCCCATGAAGAGCCCAATTCTTCTTAAAATGGCCTCATGAATGTAGGAAAAATTTAATCTTGTATGACCTGAACCCAAACCATCTACCCATTCAATTTGTATACAGGAGGACGTGATTCTTCAAAACCAAGAACAAAAAAACCCCAAGATATTTGACAGTACAAAACCATTTTACTTTGTATTACTCTACTTTGTTAAAAAGGCAGAAATGCATTTGGTCACACAGTTCACAGGACGAATCCGGAGAATCGATTCTCAGTCTTTGCTCTCACATAGTTGGTCACGTGGCTTTTCTCATGGCTGCTTGTGTCACACTGAAGAGATAGGCTTCGTAGATTATGCTTAAGAAGCTGTCATCATTCTGGAAAACAAAGCCAACAGACCCAGGGGACTGTCACTAGAGCAGCAGAAGTCAGGCTTCCTGCCTGGAGCTGAACTGGCCTTGGGTTCAATGCCTTACCTGTGTTGTTTGTGCTGACAGCTGGCAGAGCGGACCTGTGTATGTGATGTACAGGGACTGGAGGCAAGGTCAGGCCAGAACTGCTGGATTTTACAGAACTGCTGCATGTGATGTCCACATGCTCACAGCACCCAACATAGACAACACAGAAGCCAGTTGTGCTGTGTGCAGGATGGGACAGGAGGAGCGAGTCCCAGTGCCTTGGCAACAGCCTAGGAGTTGGCGGGTCCTTCCTAAAAATCCTCCAGGTTGCCCACAATGTCTGTGCACTGTTTGAGGCATTCATAGGGATTTTACCCACAGCATGGCTCACTGGTATGTTCCCAAAGGCAGCATGGTTGTTCCCATGACCTGTGGGAAGTCTCTGGCTTTGGCAAACTTACGGGCTCTCTGTCTCACTAAGGTGGGGGAGAGAACTCTGGGCCTGAGCAGAGATTCTCTTGATTAATGCTAGAGGCATTCCCCTCCCACTCAAATCCAACAGTGTCTGCCGTCACTACATTTCACCCTTCCTGATTCATTCCCTCCCCACCCACAGTTAGTGTCACTCTCACGCCACGAAGAAAGAAATGTTATCTCTGTTTTTCCTACAAAGATGCCCAAGTGACTTTTAGTAAATATATCAGGAAGACAAAATCCACAACACGCAGAAGTGTGAACCATCCAAGTCATAACATACAGCCTTGGAGTAATGTGATCAGATTGGAATGAGCCATAAAAAGCAAGAATCTTTAAAATCCAAACTTATGTCTAGGTTTTTCCTCATTGTTCTGGTAAATAAATGTGCACATATTTGTCCTAAATTCTCACACGCTTATTGTGAACAGGTGGGCTATTTCTATCATGGTGCACATTTAAGATTAGCGACATAATTAAAATAGGAAGTCTCCCTTGTCCTGGACTGCCATTCCACTCCCCAACTCAGATGCTTGCTGCCAGTCCCATCCTTTTTGTTCTCTCTAAGACATATTATCTTAGAAATGTTTTCACTACGGGGAATCAGACATCAATGGGAGAACCAGACAATCACAGAGGCTGGCCTGCTCCCCCCGCTGCTGTCTGGTGAGGAACAGAGCGCTACAAATACTTTCAAGAAGATCCCTGAACACATTAGTGGAGGTGTCTGCTTCTGTGTGGTTTCAAGCACTACCCTTTCCAGGACCTATCACTTGGGAGTGTGCTCCGATACATGGTGGTCTAGCCTTGGCACATTAATTTACATGGTTCATACAACAGGAGATGTGAACACTGTAACCAGGCTCAGTGTAACACTGGACCAACATAAGCCTGTTTCCTTGTCTGTAGAATCAGACAAATACAAGGGTTTAAATGTTTTTATACTTTGTGTGTGTGTGTGTGTGTGTGTGTGTGTGTAGATATGTGTGTAAGTGTGGATATGCTACAACACACACATGGTCAGAAGACAGCATTCTCTATTCTTGTATTATGTGGGCCATCAGGCTTGGTGGCAAGCCCCTTTACCTGATCTCATTGGCCCATATTAACAGGCCTTCCCATAGACCCTGAATAAATTATTAAACAGCGCATGGCACTATATAGTATAGTATACCACAGTTACAGCCGAGACACTCAAGGCAGGGCTGACGAGACATCCGATCATTCCACCCTCTCCTGAACAGTCGGTTTCAAAACCATAGCTGAACTGTGTTCACAGCAGTCTGTGTTCACAGCAGTCATGGCTTACAACTGCAGCTTGCCCAAGATGCTGGCTCTGTGACTGCTCCCGAGCGTGAGCTCCCAGAGTGCCCTGGCTGGCTGACCATCACATGCTCCCTTTCCTGCAGCTGGCAGCTAGGAAGCCTTACTCATTCCTCCAAGTCACAAATCTCTTGAAGGCTTGAGACATCGCAGGCTACAGTAGTATTCTAAATATCACCCAGTTAGCTGGATTTAGGAGCTACTGGAGGTGTGTGTGGGGGTTGCTCTCATGGCATCCAAAGAAGGCATCAGCAAATATAGTCTGCCGTGTGCCCACTGGTAGGTCAGCAGTCTTACCTGGATGAGGTTCAGCAGTACTTCCTGGAGCTGCAGCCTGGTGAGGGGCCTGCTGGCCACGGTGGAGGATTCCCAGTTCTGCAGGGGCAGGAGGAGGCCGGAGGAGGCAGCAGGAAGTTCTTGGCCTCCCAGGGGCATGAGCCCATTATCAGTCTCCCTCAGTGGGGCACAGGTGAACTGTGTGGAAACCACAGGAGGCATCAGCAGAGAAGCCACTGGAGCAGGGACACACTGAAATGAGGTGATCTGCTCACAGCACAGACATGCACACAAGGCAGGGTTAGGAAACAACCCACAGCAGAGCTCCAGAGATGCAAGGCCCTGTTCACAATGGTGGTAGAGGTGCTCAGTGGGAATCATCCTGGATCCTGTGGGTGGGAAGGGCTGACAGGTCTGTTCCTGTTCTACCCTCAGGGGCGACTACACAGCTCTGGAACCACCTGTGATGCCATGACCTCTGTGTATGAAGCTAGACTCCCGGTGAGAGTTTAGTTTTCAGGCCACATACATTTAGGATTGCTGGATTACTCAGCACTAGCTGTCCACTGCCCTGCCCTGAGGTCCTATCACCGGTAGGAGTGGCAGGATATGCTCGTCAGATGCACACTCAGCTCTTCAAGGAGACACCTCCCCTGTGACTAGGAGGAGCTGTTATTTGTGGGTTTGCCCCCTCTGGTCCTTCCTTGTTTATCTACAGAGAGCATGCCTTCTGCTTCTCCTGGCTGCTATGGGGGGTAAGGACAGGGTGAGGGTGAGGATAAGGGGGCAGATAATGGGATGAAGAGCAAGGACTGGACACATGGATCCTGGAGCATCATGGCCCATCTGTCTGCCGAGTCTACCTAATCCCCCTGGCTGGCAGGTCTAAAACCAAGTTTTCAAATGGCTTTCCCAATTATGCAAGTGACATTCTGAACTGGGTCTGACTGACTCCTACAGCTACCATGTGCCTCTAACTCAGGTGACAAAGGTACCTTACTTCTCAGCCTCAGAGCACTCCAACACTCACGCGAAGGAAACAGAGAAGCAGCAATTTAGACTTGGCTGTAATTTTATCATCACTCCCTTGGCATCTTTGGGGGCAGAAAATGGCCTAGAGGAAGACAGGCTCTTGTTTCATTTAGCTTTCCCTATTTGCTAGCCCAAGGAGAGGAGTTGAAAGCTGATGCTCCCAAAGGGAGGAGTCACAGAGTCATGGGGGAGCACAGCGTGGGCTGATGGAATGTACACGTTCCTTATTTGGTTCTTGACATTTGTGAGAACTAAAAACAAAGAAAATTGTATATGCAGAGATCTAAGTCTGGTTATTAGCTCTGATTTTCTTATTCTAAACCATCAAAGAGAAATGAAAACAGACATTTAAAAGGGGGTCAACTCTGCACTGCTGTGAGAGTGAGGACATTTGCAACAGGAAGCCTCTGCATCTGTGATTTAATAAAAACAAACACCTAGACTTGGTCTTCACACCTAAACAATGGTTTGTGCCCTGGGCCTTTGTTTTTAAAATGTGAACAATCTCTAAGGAGCTACTAGTGATAAAACATGTCAAAAAAACCTTAACAGTGTTATGATATCTCTATATCCATCCATCCATCCATCCATCCATCCATCCATCCATCCATCCATCCATCCATCCACTTACCTACCTACCTACCTACCTACCTAAATAAATAAATAAATAAATAAATAAATAAATTAGGGGTAAATTTCCAATCTTTAAAGTCAGCAGGTTTTCAGGGATTCTGTGCCAATCCAAGGGAAACAGCTGATCAGACCTTCAGATGCCACTATAGGCAAACAATCAACAGACCCTGGTTCTGACTGTCCCAGTTGTGATGGGTACAGACAACTTCCCTCCCAGAAAGATCCACTATTTCTAGAACTGACACTATGTTCCCTGCTCTGGCAATTTGTGGGTGGTACACTTGTTTCACAATACTGATCACCTAGAAGGCAATAAAAACAGTAGCATCTTTACTGCTATGTCTGTTTACTTCAGGAACCTACAAGGTTGTTGGATTTAGATGTGGAGTCTGCTTTCTCCACCATTGCATAATAAAGTGGCTACTAACATGTAGGGAGTGCTCAAAATCATGCGTGGAGCCAATGAGCACACAATGATCAACCATAAGATGAAAGCCAAGAATCAGCCAAAATGTAGAGCCAACTGCCATGGGTCTTCATAGTCAAAGACTAGGAGTTTTTCTATATCTGGGCTGGTCTCCAGGCCTTATGACACTGTAAACCATCTCTCTAAGTGGCAGAGGACACCAGACTGTAAGCAGAGAGGAGCTTCTCTTTCCAGGCGGAAAGGCAAGGTGAAAGACAAAGAGACACACTGAAGGGATTTGGGTAGCTGTTCTAAACGGAAACCCACGTGACACACGCTCCCTGTGGCAGAGCCAGTATCACTGCATTACCATAGTGGCAGCTCCTAGTACATATTTACCTGAGGAAGAGGAGCCTGTTTCTCCATGCTGGATGTCTTGTTGGCCCAGGCTTCCAAGGGCTTTTCTGTCCCCGAGCCATGGGCTGACACGGGGAACCTGGCTGCCAAGGCTGGCCGGGGGGCTGCCTGTAGCTGCTGCCCCTGATGTACGACCTGAAGCTTTCTTAGCAGCTCCCCAGTAGGGAGCACACCGGGGCTGCTCTCCTGGCAGCCTGGGAGGGAGAGCGCTTGTGCTGGCAATGCACACTGCTCCTTCCTAAGAGCCTGATGTCCTGGTGTGGGAGGAGGAAGGGGGCCAGTGAAATACACCATCTGTGAGTGCTTCACACTTTGGCATGGAGCCACCTGAGGGGCCACAGCCGGGCTGGCAGGTACACAGGGCTTATACTTATGCGCTGCTCCAGAAGCACCTTGAAGCTGCTCTAGCAGCTTGTGGCTTCTGCAAGTGCTCTGTGCACAGTGTGCAGTCCCACCGTTCCAGGGGGACCCCAGGTGGACAGGACCGGGGAGAAGTCCCCTTGTATGACTGGGGCTGCCACTCTCACAGGGCCACTGCTGAGGGTGCTGTGGCAGTGGGTGTAGCCCCGTGCTCCCAACCATGAGTTTCTGAATGGCTGGGCATAGTTGCTTCTCCACGGGGAGTGAGAGCCTTCTGGGATTTTCATAGGACAGGGGGCATGCAAGTCCTTGATGAACGGGAAGCTGCTCTTGCTGGTGGTGGTGGTGGTGGTGGTGATGGTGGTGGGTGAATGTCCCAGAGGGTTTCAGAGTTTCATGACACGGAGCTTTGTCTTGTTTCCCAAATAGAGCTGTCAAAGATAAGTGTTGGGGCTCAGGGTCCGAGGTCTGGGGGGGAAAAGATATCCAAAAATAGGTTCACAGAGTTTGGTTATGGGAGGGGGAGGCCGTGAAGCATAACTCAGCTAACTGTTAGTTTCCTCTATTTATAAAGGATCAATGACAGAGGTGAAATTTATTAACTCGAAAACCCTGAGACCTCTGAAATGTCTAATATCTTTACAGCATTCTGCCCTCCCTGCCCCCAAGGCTGTTGTTAGACTACAGTATCTGGTCGCTTGATTAGACAGGAATGTGATCCTTGAGGGGTCTGCAGCTCACAGATTAGGGGACAAAATTACACTCCATAGTATAAGATTGCCCATACTTCATGGTAACCTATCTCTATAGCCTGGGTCCATCTAAGGTTGCTGAGAACAAAATGTACTGGACATACGCAGGATGTAAGCTCCTGGTTCCTAGCAGCTTCCACAGCATATAGAGAGCTAAGGCCAGAAAGAAATGAGTACTTTAATCTAACATGCAAGGACCAGGCGTACACGATGCCGGGGCCCGGCCACTACACCACTCCTGCCCTCCTTGCCCCTGAGCCAGCCCTCTTTCGCACCTTCTGCTTGAAAACACACGGTCCATTCTTAAGTCAATGTGTCTTGGTTTATCTACTAGAATGAAACCGATTCTTGTGGCAAGTAAAAAAAGCTAAAATAAGTTAGAAAACACTTCTTTTTTTTGAAAAATTGAAAATGAGACTTTCATTAGTCAAGTCATTTTATGCCTTTGGTTCATGCTCACTTTCAGAACCTATTTAGACTAATCCCTTGAAAGCCACCTCTTTATTTAGGAATAACAACTATGATGAAGGAACAGACACGTTTCCTTACAATCAACAGTGGGCCCTGCTAAGTAGCAAATTTTGTCTCTGCTGTACAGTCCTGAACAGCACACCACACACATAGCGCCACAGGCCTGTGGGGCTTTGACTACTCTCGGGCCCAGAGTTAACCCACAGCAGGGACTCTATGCTGCGCACCCAGGGCCAGGCATTGCTCTTAGTACAGGGCAGTGCTCAGAAATGTTACATTTTACTGTGCTGCCATGATGGCTGCTCCTCCAGTGGCCTGAGAAGTCACCTGTCCCAGAAGAATATGGGCCATGAGGTTATGCTTCGGTCTCTCCTGACACTTGCTGTTTTAACAATCTATGATCTTCTAAGGTGTCTCAGCTCATGGGCCACGAGCCCAGCATTTGGTAAATCCAACAGTCCCCGAGAAAGGGCACCCGTGCTGCACAGTTCATGCATGCTGCAACAAGACTCTGCCTTTCTCCCTGATCTTCTGTGTCCTTCGGCAGTGCCAGGCCCTCCCCTGCAGTTCCAGGGTAAAGTTCTTTGGGAATCCCAGAGAGGACACGGGTAAAAGCAGACAATTTCCCCAGTGTCCGTAGTTACTCCAGGTTATATACTCAGATTGGGAGATCTGGAGCCAGCAGCCTCAGGTGAGAGAAAACATATGACATTTTTCTTTCTGAGTCTGGGTTACCTCACCTCAATAGTATCTTTCTGGTTTTACACATTTACCTACAATTTTCATGATTTCAGTTTTCGTTATAGCGCAACAGTATCCCATAGCATATATGAACCACATTTTTGTTATCCATTCATCAGTTGCAGGACATTTAGGGTGTTTCCACTTCCTGGCTATTGTGACTAGAGTGACAAAGAACTACAGTCACTTAAGAGTGCAGCCCGAGAAACTGTCTCCTCCAGGAAAGAGCACACGCACTGGCTATCCAATACCAAATGGGCAGCGCTGCAGACATGTGCATAGAGCAACACTGTACACACACATGTGACAAATAACCTGGACCGAACAGGTTGTATTTATATATTTAGGAATATATACCATTTAGGAATTAAATAGAGGCCATTAATTTGAGAGAAGGCAAAGGGAATTTACAAGGGAAGGGTTGGAGGGAGGGAAGGAGGGAACAAATGTAATTATATTTTAATTCCCCAAATTGAAAAATATGTTAAAAAAAAAAGCAGAAGATGCATACCTTGTTGGGTGGGGGTTCTTGTGGCCTCCCGCTGCCACTGGGTCTCACGGGGACAGGTTTGATAAGCTTAGGGTTGTCACAAATGGCAGAAGAACTGGTTATCTGTTTTGGCTCAGAACAGGTCTTACACTGGAATGGAAAAACACAAATACTTCATTTTTGATCTGAATAAAAGAAGCTGGAGTGTTTTTACACTCTTTCTTGCTTATCTAATTGGTAGATGGCTATTTTTTAAATAAGTTTTCATGCATGAAGGATAATCTCTTCTGAAGGAAACTGTGTTTGTGTGTAATTCAGTTAGACCCAAGCACCCGCATGCTCTTGGATAGCTGGAAGGCTATGTACACATTTGCTTAAGAAGAAATAGTTTAAAACAACCAATCTAATAAGTTCCAATGGTAAGCAATCACAGAGTGCTGGGAGCTGCTAAAAATATTTAACCCAAGCATCTAAACCTGTTTGGTCCACAAACTAAAAAGTAATGCTATCTCAAACCACTGATTTAAAAATTGGTAACACCATTTTTATCTAATAGATGACTTCTTGCATAAACAGGATAATTTAAATGAAGTGTTCTAAGCCACTCCACAACAAATTAGAATTTTATAAACAGACAGGACAAGCCTCATCATTTCAAATACTGACTCATTATCACCTGTTAATCTAACCAACCGTGCAATCGCTAGCAGTAGGATTCATAACAAAACTGCCTGGCAACAATGCTGTGGTTTATTTTGTTAAAACATCAAATAAAACAATACAACAGGACCTTCCACGCTGCAGACTCTCTGGAGCATTTGCTTCAGCTGCCCAGCCAATGCCTCATGCCTGAAAATAGTCACCGTTTCTGACAAGGCATGAGTGACAGGCCCCATCTCATCCCGGGAGCCCCAGCGTTATTGAGGCATATTCTCTTATTCTAGCACACTGGGCTTGGGTTAGTTGTCACTGTGTGCACCTGTCTTTGAGATCAACCACACAAAAGTCTAACTGTATTTTCCAAGAGTTCTGTCAATTCTTTGGCCATTAGGCATTAGCACTGAATAGAATGTGGAATTGCTTTTAGGTCATAAAATGTTATTTTTGCATTCATCTCAAGTGAGTGACAGTAATGGGTGGTATTGCTGCATGGGTCGACTGCTGTCTTCCTTAGAGCAGGGGAGCAAGGCGAGGCAAGAACACGTAAGACCCCGACTTACAAAGTGCTGGCTAGAGGAGCTGTCGGTAGTCCCTCACGCCACTTACAAAGATGTGGTGTTAATTCTACAGAAAGGAAACTGACATTCTCCCACCTTCCCTTTGTGCTGAGGTAGCTCTGCCTCCCATTGTACATCACTCCTTAGATATGTTTTTCCCCTTTTCTTTTTTAGACAGGGTCTCACTACACAGTCCAGTCTGGATTCAAGATGACAACCCTAATCATAGGGAAATGGTAATCAAAGTTACAATGAGACCTCATATCATTCCAGGTAGAATATGCAAGCTCAGAAAGGAAAAAGAGGGGCTGGAGAGATGGCTCAGAGGTTAAAAGCACTTGTCGCTCTCCCAGAGGACATAGGTTTGGTTCCCAGCACTCAGGACCATCCATAACCCTAGTTCCAGGAGATTTGATTTCTAAGGGACCCAGGCACACATATGTTGCATACATATAAAATAAACATATATTTTTTTTTAAAGTCAAAAGATAATAAAGTGTTGGTGTGCTGTGGAGCAAAGGGAATCCTGGTACAGTACTGTCGTCAATCTGTGTAGAAAATAGTACCAAACAAAAACAAAAACAAAACCCACCAAAAAATGTAATCAGCAGAAGACCTGCCAATTCCACTTCTGGGCATACAACTGAAGAGTATGAAACCATAATGTCCAAGAGAGATCCATACATGTCCACTGCAGCACCATTTATAACAGCCAAGACATGGATCAGTTAAATGTTTGTCAACAGATAGATGGATATAAAGTATAGGAGCCTTTTGAGGATGTTCCTTATTGCGGGTCATGCTGGACATGTAATCGTGTATAATGATGATCTATGGCTAATGGTGAAGAGAGGGAGAGAGTGTGAACTAAATTCAAACAAATCAAAACTATTACTGTCTTTCCTTTGAGAGTACTCACACACCAGTACCTGCCTCTGACACTGATATTAGAGCGTGCGTGTGTGCATATGTGTTGTATGTGCACATGTGTGTGTATAGTCACAAACAAGCCACCGTTCATATGTGGAGGTCAGAGGCAGCTTTCAGAAGTCAGTCCCCTCTTTCTGTCATGTAGGCAGTGGGTTCTAGGAACAAATTGAGGTCTTTGAAGGTCCAGGAATTAAATCCAGGGTTCAGGCCCCCTTTGCTCACCAGCCATCTCACAGGCTCACACTGGTTAACACTCTGTCTACAGTCTTGTTATGTGAACTCTTGACTCCTCAGCTTTCTATAACATGGTCTTCGTGGTATTCTATAAGCATGTGAAACTGACATCTACTTCCTGGAAGTGACTTCCTGCCTCTCCTCCCCTTCCCTCCTCTCCACCCATACAAGATCAGACTTTCCAGGTCGGTTTCCAGTCCTGCCTGTCACATGAGTAGAGCCCAACCTCCCCAGCTAGATGTAGCTGGCTCTCATGTACACATGCCGCATTTCAGACATACACAGACAGTGTACAGGCCATCAGTAAAATGGGCCTGGCATGAAGAAGTGGGAAATGGACAAAGTAATAAAGAACAGGATTTTCCCCTCAGAATTCTTCTTGTGAAGTGTATCTCCATTTTTGGACATGTTTAAGAAGATGCAGTGGAGATGTTAGGAAAGAATTTCATGTCTCTTGATAAGGATTAAATGAACTTCTGAGATCCCTTCTGCCTCTGGAATTTGGTGGGGAATTCAGTCTTATTTTTAAATTGAATTGAAAAGTTAAATTTGTGTAAATTAAGGCATATAATACACATAATGTTTTGATACATACATACATTGTGGAATGCCTACATCAAGCTAATGAATGTATGTATTACCTTATATACGCAGCATTTTGTGGTGAGAACACTTAAAAAATCTACTCTCTATACCTTTCCATTATGTTGTTCTTTTCACTCTCAAAGTATAATCTACCAAGACTTTTCAGTTCAAACATTTTGGCTTGAAGTCATGATTTTCCTAATGATGTTATAATGTAATAAGACATAACTTTCTTATTTTTCTTACCTACTTATTAATTCCAAGATTATTTTTTTCTTAACTTTATTTTATTTTGCCCATTACGCTAGAGAGTGTTAATCTTTCTTTCTTCCTTTCTTTCTTTTTGAGAGTGTTAATCATTTATGTATCAGTTTTTAGGGGACACCTAGTTTTCAGGTATGAATATTCGCAGTTGTTACATTTCATTTTGTTTGTTTTGGTTTTGGAGACAGGGTTTCTTTGTGTAATAGCTCTGGCTGTTCTGCAACTCACTTTGTAGATCGGGCTGGCCTTGAACTCAAGAGACATTACCTGCCTCCCAAGTGCTGGGATTAAAGGCGTGTGCCACTACTGGCTGGCTTTTTGTTTTGTTTTGTGGTTTTTATATTTTTTAAAATTTGCAAAATGTTAATTTTTATATAGTTGAAATTAATTTGAGTTTTAAGGCATAGTTAAGAAGAATTCTTTTTCCCTAGATTGCAGAGTAATCTAGGAATTTTCTAACACATTTGAGATTTATCCTGGATGTGGCTTAAGGCAGTTTGGATTTTGTACTTTTCTGAATGGGTACCAGATGACTCAACACTGTTTCCTTAAGAACCCATTCATATAACCCAGAAACAGTTCATATCATAAACTTGACCTATAATTGCATCTAAATCTGGCTTTAGCTATCCTGTTGGCCTATCTGGCTATTATGTATGAATACCAACAATCTACAGCATCCTACATATGCATATCCAATTTTAACAGTCCACAGTATCCTAAATTTTCATAACTATTTTTTAGCATCAAGTAGAGCCTGCTTCATGGCTCCCTACTCTACCTCTGGTCAATATGGCTGGTTTTTATAGCCCCCCCCCACACCCCCATTCCTCAATACCCTAAAGCCCATTTCCCCCTTACAATCAGCTTGTCTGTTCCAGGAAAAGGAGAAGAAAAGGAAACAGCAGCATTTATTAGAAATCACCTCAGACTCACAGACTAAAGGAGAACTGACAACTTTACATTCAATCTTCTTAATCCTCAGCTAAGAACCGGACATATACTTACGTTTGTTCAAGTCTGCTTTTGTGCTTTTTGTTTTGATTTACTTATTACCTTTTATTTATTCATCGGGGAGGGGTGCCGCAGCACATGTGTGGGGGTCAAAAGAGGACAACTCATGGAGGTCAGCTCTCTCCTTCCACCATATGGGTTGCAAGGATCAAACTCAGGTCATGAGGCTTGGTGGCAGGTGGCCTGACCCACTGAGCTGTGTCGTTGGGGTCCATGCTTTGTGTTTTTGTGATAGGTCTCACTACTTAGTGAGGTCTGGGCTGAAATGCACCATCTTCCTGCTTCAGCTTCCAAATTCTGGGATTACAGGCCTGCCCCGCCAATGAAGACATGTTACATTTACATGTTACCACTGTGAATGTAGTAAGTCCTCTAACCAAATACTATTTGTTTGTATGAAGGCTGTTGATTTCTTAGGCTTTTAATTTACTGTAGAAAACAGTCTATAGCCTACTACAAACAAATAGACCTTGATTTATCCCAACTGAATTTTGAAGAGCCTTGAGTCTTTCTCGGTGACAATTGTGTCACAGTGGTAAGTACAATCATAAGGAAGGACAGAGACTCACCTTAGTGTACTCATCTTTGGCCTTGGTGAGCATCTGTAAGATGTCTACTTCTCTGCCCTCTCCTGAACTCAGGCTCACTGGGGAGGATTCTGTTCCAGCTCCATGACAGGCTTTCAACTGTTCACATTGAGTGAGGCTAGAAAAACAAGGGAAATGAGTATCAGGAAACCATCGAAAACCAGTGCTATCACTGCAGTTCTCTCCCGGGTGTTTTCATCCCATTAGAGACATCTTAGAAAGACGCTCAGGCTTTTCAAACAGAAAATGAGAGATGAGGTCTTGAGCCAGCTGGCCACATATGCAAATCCAGAGGAGGAGCCAGCAAGCCACGACTGTGGGCCACAGCCTGCCATACCTGTTTTTGTAAAGAGGACAACAAACACAGACTGCTCATTATTGGACACATCAGTCACATCATGGATGCTTTTACACTGTAGTGGCAGAACTGTCCCTGAACATGGAGGAAACTTTACAAAGACCAACATTCAACAGGGATAACTGGCAAGGGGGACCGGACCACCTCAGAGCCTACAGTTCTCTGGCAATCTGGAGGTATCACAAAGGTCTCACCCTAACACTGACCACATGGTCTTAGATGATGCAGGGAAACATCAGAAAATGCCTCTTTGTTTGCTTTGACTTTTAGCACCAATTCTTTTGTTAAAGCCCTGAAGTTAATGGTAAAGTAAGACTGGTGAAGTCACAGAGAGATTTTATTCGAACTAGAGAAGGGATCTGAATCCACACAAATCAACTGCTCATTGGTAGTAATGATCACTCATTTCCCTGCCTGAGCTGTTAGGCAGTCACCACAGAATGCTACCAACTTTACCATGACCTCTTGGTTGAGCGACAGGGTATTTTTTAATCCATATGAAATCCTGCTATTAATATCCCTTGAACAACTTACAACAACATGAAATGTTTAAGGAACTAGTTGTTATGGTGGTAAATACCAGTTTGAACACACTTAATCACCATCTGTGACTTGAGCTGGTTGCCTAAAATTAGCTTTCACAAGTGAGAATTTCAGGAGTCAATTTTATTTATAAAAATGTGTTCTCTGGTTTTCATTTCCTTGGTGGCCGCAGCGGGGGGTGGGGGGGTGAGGTGGTGAGGTGGGGAGTGGGGGTGTGTGGGGGTGTCACTTTTTCATCTCACTGCCCCTGGATTTAGAATTGAATACTGGCTCTTTGCAGACAGAGCATCTCATCCACATGGGGAACAGCTAGCCTAGGCAGAGACCCAGCTTCATAAACTCACTCCATTCTGAGGCTCTTGGCCATTTGCATAAACAGCAGCAAAACTGAGCAGCCATGTTCATAACTGATCAGTCCATCAATGTCACCCTGGCCTCCTTTTGGTGCAAACCAGGGAGGCTAAGAGTAAGAAAGTCTAATAGCAACGTAGAAGCAGTTCAGAACCAGCATGCAAAAAAAGAGATAAATAATGAGAGGGGAGAGAGAGAGAGAGAGAGAGAGAGAGAGAGAGAGAGAGAGAGAGAGAGAGAGAGAGAGAGAGAGAGAGAGAGATATATTGTGCACTGATAGCTAAACTAACAGGGACTTTGACTTTCCCAGGCTCGGGGATAGCCTTTCAGGATGACTCTGCATGTTTTTGTTTTCAACTGATGGACACATCCAGAGAAAATACTACTTATTTACAAATGAAGAAAATCTCCACATGGAACCAAACCACTCACAGCATGTGAGGCAGAACAAGGCACATTATTCCAACTGTGGACCTAGAGAAAGTCAGCAAACCATTTCTTACTCCTTTTTCATTAAGTAAGCAGTGTCCAGTGTTTTGGGATCATGTTGAAGATGATGGCTGAGAAACAATTCCTGGTAAAGCTAGTGTTGCTTCACACACTTAGAAATATGAGTCAAAGCCCCGGGTAGTAGGAAACTCTTGGCCTTTTACTACTTACTTTTTCATCAGTTTTGCAATTCTTTGGCACTCTTCCTTATCATAAAACCAAATGCCATAAATGGACACTGGGAAGAAAACACATCAAACAAGCCATAAGCATCTTCAAAGTCACACAGTGAAAGAGATTCCCTTTCTGTCTGAGAGGAAAATACATAATAACCAGTTATGGAAGGAATTCACTCAATCAGTGATTAAATAAATGGAACCAGTCATTGCAGTTACATGTCAAAAAGAAGAGCGTCGATGCTGGGAGTGAGTGCCGATGAGTCTGCACAGCGAAGCTGCTTCCTTGACAAGTGCAGCCTCTAGCTCAACAGGCACTTGGTAAATGCTTCTCACATGAGTGGCTACAGACTGAAAATGAGATCAGGATTTCTAAACTTCTTGGCTTTGAGATTTCATTGTTTCTATATTCCATTTGCACATTTCACAAACACATTTCATCTTTATTTTTAAATATTCAGAAACCTGATGCTCAAATTATGCCTAGAAACCTCCTTCCCTCTCCTTCTCCAAAGAATATGTTAACTGAAAAATTGGCAGTGAGTTATTAGGATTGGGAACCAGAAAAAATTTATTTTAAAAATAAATTTCATCTTAAAATGTCCATACAGAAAATTTACAAATGTTGGAAGGTTAGGCACGACTATTGTGTAACCATTTAGCAATGAGCAGAGATATAGTATAGTTGTGATTGATTCATTTAATAATTTTTCAAATAAGTTGTCTATTAAATTTAGCATATATTTAGCTCCATAACTTCTGTAATGGGGGCTAAAACAATTGTAAGGTACATCTGTAAATATCCAGTTGAGGTTCTCATCTTATATGCAAATAATCATATAAATAATACATGAACTACATGAACAATAAAAATAACTTCATTGAAAACAGCAGCAATATGATGATAGAGCAATGAAAATTAGAAAAAAGTATTTGAAAGGCAAACAAAAAATTTAAACTTTCAAAGCGTTTAATTATTTTGTACAAAGATAGCTGTGATAGTCTAAGAACACCCTTTTCTGCTCATTCATCTTACTAATGCCCAGATAGGGACTTTCTGCCTCAGAACAACACTGATATAAATATCCAAAGGCACAGAAAATGTCTTTTTAAATGCTATTTTAAGCAGGTATCAAAAAGAGGCTTTATGAATCCAGACCACCAACTTGCAAAAAAGTCATCACTGAGACTTGAAACTTCATTTTTGTACTGATCAAGTACATGCAAAATATTTTTTAAAAAAAAGCTTTATTGCAGTGTGTGTGTGTGTGTGTGTGTGTGTACAGGCCAGACAGGGTGTCAGATACATTGGAACAGCAATTGCAGGTAGCTGAGCTCCCAGATGTGGGTGCTGGGAACCAAATCTGTTCCTCTGGAAAAGCAGAAAATGCTCTTATCCTTGAGTCCTCTCTTCAGTCCATGTATGCAGAACCTTTATCTCAGAGACCTACATATCGAAGGGCAAAGGGAGATGAAGTCCCAGGCTTTTTCAACCAGGTTACTCTCTGAGATAGAAACACACACATATCTGTCCGCAGTGCTATGACAAATCTAAGAAATATGAGAATACCAGTATTCTCCAATCAGTGTGCTATGATTGCTTTCACATCAAAATAAGCCCTTTGCATCAAGATTAAATGTGTTTATGGAAACTGAGATTTAAGGTTACTTCCCATCTACCAGAAGTCACTCCTCACTCAGACTCCCCAGACTCCTGTCCTTTTATTCTTGTATGGTCACGTTGGATCGCTAGCACTCAGCCCTTGAGGAATCTACACAGAATCTGCACATCTGCATGGATCACTAGCACTCAGTCCTTGAGGAAATCTATACAAATCACTAGCACTCAATCCAAGAGGAAGCTACATGGATCGCTAGAATCTACATGGATCACTAGCACTCAGTCCGTGAGGAATCTACATAGATCACTAACACTCAGCCTCATGAGCCTGACTACTTTGTCTCAAATACAGTAGGTGCTGAGGACTATTTGAGTGGTTTGACCACAGTGAAATCTTTTCTTTTTTGAAGACTTAAGTTTTCCAAAATGGTAAGTCAGAAGACCACAGTGCAACCAGAAACTAAAGCCCGGTGGCAATGGGTGTGTTACCATTAAACCACACCATCAAGCATTCCGGGACCATTCCTCCTATGTGACATTTGACATACAGAACTACAGTTCCGTAAGGGCAGGATGCCAAGGAAACTGTTGGCACAAGCAAAAGCCCTCTGACATCTTCATTACCACAAGATGATGACACACAGATTTCAGGCAGAAAAACAACAGAAAACCCTCCAATGTTAATGCAGAATAAAGGAAGTACTGGGTTTGCCATTATTCAGTACCTCATGAAGATTTATTTAGGAGGCAACATGGTTTTTAACATAAAGATAGGATCATTTGAAACATTTCTCTTTACCCAGTTAATACTTAGCTTGAACACAGGTTTAAATAGGCAAGGGAAAGGGAGGATAAAACACAAATTTCCCAGCATTCCTGACTACTAAAAGGAGCACCAAGATAGAGGACTGGCCCTGTGCTTTCTTCTCCTTAAAATAGTTTTGCAGCTCAGCGGCATCGTGAATCCATGAAGTGCACATTCCAGCTCAAGTTCTCCGTGTCGTGGGCCCAGACCTCCACCCCCACCAGGCCTATCACCCTTCCACACAAGAGGCTGTGCCAGACAGCTCGTGGTGATATACAAAGACCAGGGCTCATCAGGCCTTCAGGAGGTGATGAGCTGACAGGCTGACAGAAGCCATTTGCTTCACATTTCCATTCAAGGGCTCCACTGGGGAAGGGCTTGACTCTGCACAGGTCTGAACACAACAGCAAAGGCAGGACGATGCAGCAGAGAGGAGCCAAGAAAGGAGGCGTGCTTTCAGAATTCTAACCTGAAAGTAACAGCCTGAATTCCCAGCAGAGCTCTAGGGCTCCATGAGCTTTTACAGTCCTCAAAGGAGGCCACGGAAATCGGTTCTGAGTTGTTAAAAAGTGTAAGGGAAAATTACAAATGGACTAATTAGTTGTGAAATTAGCTGTTAGCACCCAGCTGGAAGTCACAATGATTCGAGCCTTCGTTCAGCCGTCCATCCCCCCATACCAGCCGCTTTCCAGTCACCTGTCTGAGGAGTCAGAGGGGAAGTTCAAGGGCAAGGTAATACATGAAGCTCAACTCAACTGTTTCTACATCTCTCCTGGAGGTAAGAAAAGCGTGTTGAGAGCTCCCCTGAAAAGCAGGATTCTAGAAGGTTCCCCAGCACATGTTTGTGTATGTCTGCACAATCCCTTGTGTTTAACTGGGACTACTCACCGCACCGTGGTGAAGCTCTGCTTGGTACTGCCCTTTCACCGGATGTCATGCTTGGTCAATTCCCCATAGAAAACAGCCTTTCAGTGGTAAAATACCTGCCTCCCATTGTCCTTTCAATCCCTTAAAAGAGTGCAAAATTTCCATATTATATTCCAGGTCTGAGTTTTGTGGGCAGACACAGACAAGAGTGAGTAAGCTGACTGTGCTTGATAATGGCATGGATTCTTTAGTTTCTCCAGCAGGAAACCTGAAAGCCAATCAAATTTCAATGGGCCAATTAAGGGTCATTAGAAGCAGCATCAGATGTCACTTTCATGTGCATTTGCACTTGCACACACTGACTCCCATTAGTACAGCACAGTAGTTCATTTTGGATGAATGATTACAGGACCCGCCTCATCCTGTTTATGTTCCTAATAGATGTTTTTATTTAATATGACCTTTGGAGACATTGACCATTTGTTCTCTAGTCTATGCCAAGTACTTTTCAACTCAAAACCTTTTAATAAGAATCAGGGCTAACACTTTCAAAGCAAGCATATACCCATCTAGTTAGTAAGTGGTATACAAATGTGTTAAGGGATGCATAGCAAACTTTAAATGGGAATTCTGGTTTGATTATGCTTTCTCATCTGCAAGCCTCCTGCTTTCCCTCCCTCGATTCTATCCTCCTTCCTCCCTCTCTTCACTTACTCCTGAAAAGGGGTCAGAGCATTTGTTTGCCTTCAGAAGCTCTCAGCTCTCTCTTTACTGGGCACCTGGCAGAAATCAGTTCTGCAAGCGACATGCAATTGAGAGTAACTAAAAAAAATCTAAGTCTCTTCAGATCCCACTTACGTCCTGGTCTTCCCTAAATGAGTGGAATAAGAATCTCGAACCCAGTGTATAATTGGTGTAAACACCTGTTTGGTGGACTTTGTTCAATATATATATTATTTACTGTCCCAATTGCCCAGTTCAAGCTGTCGTCTGTTTGGCCATGGTAAAGATGTCTACTTCTGGGAGGCTGGCAGAAGCACACACATAGCACCCACCCTTCTGACAATATAAGCACACTTTAGAGAAGGAGAAAGTCAGTTGTGAAGCTGCTGCAGGCACTAAGAGTGTGCAGCTCAGGGAGCCCCTCACAGGAGCCTCTGTGGCCATACAAGGCACCATGAACTAGCCACAGGGCTTTCCCAGTCTTGTTTCTCTAAACTATGCCCCCGAAGTACACAATACAATATACAATTTGATAAGCAAAGTTTCAAAAATCATTTACACCCTTTGATTTGATGTCTAAACTTGGCAGGAATTAGTCTGTGTTTGGGTTTGTGTTGATTTGATCATGGGGTGGGTGTGTGTGTGTGTGTGTGTGTGTGTGTGTGTGTGTGTGTGTGTGTGTCAGAAGACAACTAGCCAGAGTTAGTTCTCTCCTTCAATTATGTATGCTCTGGGGATAGAACTCAGGTCAGCCTTGACAACAGTACTTTGCCTACTAAGCCATCTCACCAGCCCTTTGCTCTGAGATGGGTTTTGCTTTGTAGCCTACACTGGAAGGCTATTCACTGTGTAGTCCAGGTTAGCTTTGACCTCATAGTAACCTTACTTTGTGGATTATCTGAAATGTGTGTTTTTTAAACCAGGGTTGGCCAGGACTTTCAGAATAAGAGAGGAAACAAGGGTCTGAGGGAGGGAGGGAAGCTGGAGAGACTGGTATCCCTTGGAATGTTTACAGTAGGATGCTCTAGAGAGGCACCTGAGGGCTGTGTCCTGGCTCTGTGGATGGTAACCAAGGCTGCGGCTGGCTCTGCATCGGTCCTGTACTTGTACCATCTGGAATGCCTGTGCTAAACCCCACTTCCCTTTGGCATGCTCTTTAATGCCTTTAAAGTAATGTTCTTTCATTCACCTTCCGCTCTGGCTTTGCTGACCAAACACGGACACGTCTTGTAAAACAAAATCTTCACTGGCCCTGAGCAGCTACATAGCATTGTTATCTTTGGCCCTGGGTCTGGTTCTTTTCATATGACATAGTTTTACTGCACCTCACAAATCAGCAGTCCTGATCCCATGATCTTGGGATACTGGAAGGTTCACAGCCTGTGAGAAGCGGCTGCTATTTAATGGCAACTAGTACCATCGAGCAGTGGGAGCAAACAGTAGGAAACCTGAGGAGCAAAAGCAAACTGCCCATTCCAAATAAAGGAACTATTTTAGAATGCTAATGCTGGTAAAACTAAATAGATCAAAACCTCACACCCAAAGCATTATGTTAATTTGAGTCAATATGTATTTCCAGCCATCAGTAAGAACTTGTTCCTTTAAAAGTAAAAGATGTATTTAGGTTTTAGAACGTTTCATTTATAACAAAGATTACAAGTGTCATTAGACTTCCTAATCTCCTCAGAGTCACTGTCCTCCTCACTGGGGAAACTTGACAAGGTCAGAGCAATTTCACCATACACTAAATTCCTCATTTTATTTCTCTCAGGGGAAAGTTACTTTATTTACTCTAAGAGGTTTAACAGATTAAAGAAATGCCTAAAAAAATTAAGATGCAGGAAAACCCTAGATTGACAGTATCAGAAATAGGAACAATTAACTTTGTTTGGTTGATCACTTGTTTATCTCCACAAATACCAAATGGATTCCCTAAAACATCCTTCTATGTTTGCAAGCCTCTATTTATCCTTGAAATCCCCACTTCTTCACTCTTCCTGGGATAAACTCCCAGTCTTTTTGTGGGCCCTTGTACTGAGAGCGTCCTACTTAAGCATTTACACATCTCTCCCCTGGTCAGAGCAACAATGCGGCACAGAGAGCAGCACGTGGGGTCAGTCAACAAGTGTCTGCCAAAGACTATTACCGATAACCCTTGCCACGTTAGCATCAGCTCTGGCTTAATTAACCATCATGGACCAGACAGGCTGGGGTCCTCTGCCAAGAGATCCGCTCTACCAGAGAGTACAGGGCCTGCCTGGATATTCTAATGTTGCTGAGAGTTGATTTTGCCTCATGCACTTCACATACTTAGGTGTAAGTCTCAGTGACAGGACTTTGCAATTCAGATGTGAGATTCCAGAAAACGACACATTCCACTGACTTGGCGCTGGGCAGACACCAATGTCTTTGTTTTATGTGTGTCTATGATTGCAAAACTTCTCCCTCTGTCATTCTTCCTGCCTACTACTCCCACCAGCAACTGGGAGACAAAGAACACATTTCCTAAGAGATCACTAGGACTGTAGTGTAGCAAACAACTATGATACTCACATGCTGGTCGCATGCGGTAACAGTAACCCTGAGCTTACAAGCACCTAAGTTACCTTAATTATTCCAATAACACTCTGAAATGCTATTATCATAAATGAGTATCAACAAAAGGAAATAAATCCTGTCTCACGATTAGAGTTTGTGATGCTTAAAGCTAAATATAAAACATTTTTATACATCTAAAATTGTTCTCCTCAAAACAAAAACCCCAAAGCACAGACTTCCTCATGTTTCAGATCACTGGAAGGCTGCTAAGGTTTGGCACAGAGGCTCTGTAGCTAGTGAGGGGAGGGGTGAATCAGAAGCCCTGTACTCCTGTCACTCTGACCTTTATCTACGAGGACACAGGAGATACCAAGTGTTCCCAAAGCCCTGTATGTTGAAAACAAGTCATGTTTCAGTTCTGTTCTGAGAGGGGTTGTGTGTGGAATGATTCCAACACCAGCTCATGGCTTAATTGCTTTCTTTCTTCTGGACCCTTAAGAATGTAGAATAAACATAAGACTCCTTCTGGAATCAACACGATTATGTGAAATTATCTGGTGATTTTTGAACAAAAATCAACAATATAAAAGTAGAATGAAAAATGTACTCCAATTCTGTGCAGCCATACTGCCCATTGCCTGTATGCCGAGGCAGGGAGAGTGAAGAATGCTCCTCTCAGGAAGCATGGAGGGGAACATTCTGGAATATAGTTTCTCTGCCAAGATTTAGGCTTTTACCATAGCAAATTTGGCTTTCTCAAACAAAATACAAAAGATGGCACAACTACAAGCCATGAATGCAGCATATGAATGGGAAGATCATCTCTATGCGAATGCTTATTTCCTACTAATGCCAAGAATGGTGCATCTGTATGGCTGAGGGCAAAGCAGAAGTGACTTCATTTGGAGTTTACTCTACAGTGTCTGCACATTACCTGCAATGTGTCACTTTGCCTCACAGACTCTTCCTCACCCAAGCATGCCAATCTTATACCACTGAGTGAGCTTCAAGATACAGATCTTCTCATTAAATTCACGGAAGTCCCACCCATGAGTCCCCTAACAGTCCACAGTGGAAGTGCAGAGTCCTTATGCTGGGTGCTCTGGGTAAGGAGTATGGCTTGCCCAGGTGGTGTGGCATGCTGACAGGAACCTGTTTCAGGAACTATGATGCATGGGAACCAAGATTATGACAACTTGTACTCAGAAGTGAAATTCTGGCTTATTTGACATCTTTTGGAGCTTGCTGTAATCGACAGAATGCCAGTTTTTTACACAAATCATCTCCTTTGGAGTTTAGATACTTTCAGCATTTTCAGAGTACTGACAGAACACACGGTTAATTCTGGATTTAAGGCTAGACTGACAATTTTATCACTCAAGTTGTAGGGTAGGAGATGTGTAATGCTTAATCACTTGTTACACGGCGTGTTGGCTCTCTGGGCAAAGGGCTGTAATAAAGAGGCCAGCTTTTCACCTGGAATGGAAATGGTGACTTACAGCCTGAGTGTGGTGGTCTGAAAGAAAATGGCCCCTCATAAGGAGTGGCACTAATGGGAGGTGTGGCCTTGTTGGAGGCAGTGTGTCATTGCAGAAGGAGGCTTTGAGGTCCCACATATCCTCAATATACCACCCAGTGTGAGAGTCCACT